ATGAATTGTACACTTGCAACCTAAAAAGGCAACAAAACCTATAGGAAAGAGACTGTGAGAATTCTATCAGAAAAGGGAGGGAGGGAAAAAGGAAGGATTGCAGACTTGGGCAGCTCACCACTGATACATCAGCATAACGTGAGGATGTTAAGGGGGCTGTGACACTGGATAGACTGGGAGAAATCATGGTTTCATTTCCAATCTCCCAACTCTAGGAAAGCAGGTAAGATCGTTCAATGAGAAAAATATTGGAAGGAAGGGAGAAGCTCTGAAGTCTTACAGACAGATGCAGAGAAGAGAGTCGAAGAGTATTTAAGAGGCAGGAAACATCCCAGAAGGAAAACCAGCTCTTGCAGTCAGCAGAGGTATGGGAGATGGCAGAACCTGCAAATATAATACTGCGGAAAGAGATAACGCAGTGTCAGGCAATAAGGACAGAAGGCACCAAACCCACTCATTTGCACTCATCCCTGGGGAGACACTAGGTTGTCTAAGACAGAATTTGAGGTACTTACATTGTTCACAATACATCTCGTCTGATCCGTCAGCACAGTCGAGAGTCTCATCACACTCCAGATAGGCATCAATGCAGCAGCCATCTTTGCATCTGAAGAAGGGGGGCTGACAGTTCCCATTGCACACTGCGTCACAAACAGTTCAGATAGATAGCTCATTAAAATTCATTGTTTCTCCTCGCCACACAGTTTATGTGTGGCATTATGAAGGACTTAAAAGCTGCTGATAGAGCTGGCAAACAAGAAACAAGGCAGACTGGTTAAGGTCTCTCTTCAGTGCCACCCTGGACTCAAAAAAAGATTAAAAAAAAAATATTTCTTGTTTATAAACGAAACATTGCTCTGAGAACAGCCATGCTTCCTCTCAAAAAAGAAGGCAGAAGCAAGAAGAAGCTACTCGGGAAGAATATGAAGACATTGCCCAAGCATGGGGGATTAAATTAGGAAAGCCAAACGGAAACCTGCACATCAGGCTGTGAGAGGCAATTGAGAAGAGCGGTTATTCCCCTCTGCTCCAGAAGTGGTCCCAAGTGCTGAATACTGTGCCCATTTCTGCGCTCCCCATTGCACAAAAGACACTGGCATACTGGACTGCAGAGACTCAGAAGGGGCTGGAGCAGAAGACCTTGTGTGAAGTTACGGAAAAGACAGAGAGAGACTATTTTTGGAGGTGCACAGTAACAGGAGGAGCAGCAACAGACACAAGTCGCAACAAGGGAAAAAAAATTATAACGAGGGTCATCAAAAACTGGCACAGTTTGACCAGAGAAAGTGTAAAATCTTCTTCATCAGAGATACCCAAAACTGGACAGATGCAGTCCCAAGCAACACAACGTGACTCAAACCTGACTCTGCTTTGAGTAGTGGGTTGGACGAGTTGACATCCAGAGGTAATTTCCAACCTGAATTATCCTATGACACGGAAGTGAAAGCCTTAGTAAAGAAATTAGCCTTCAGTGCCTCACTTTCCACTCTGACAGAGTACTAATCAAAAGCCACAGGAATGGACATGAGACACTGAGACTGAGCTCTCAGCAGGATTACACAGTGGTACAGGAGGCTCACCTGGCTGTTGTCGCCCACCAACAGAACCTGAAGAAACAAGAGGAAAAATAAAATAAATTTACCACCACATCATTTTGTCAGTTCAAGATCAGCTTTATATTGCCTTCATATCTCACCTAAGAAGTGCATATTTTCTGGAAGCAAGGCCTATAGGGGTCAGGGAGGGGAAATATGGGTGCCTACCACCCAGAGACCCCAGATAAGTAGAACCCGTGTGAGGTAGGCCTGGAGGAGCACAGGGGAACTTCCTACCACTAGCTAGACCGCTCCTAAAGGGTCTTTCTTTTCCAAGGCTTTTGGCTTGTCTTTAAGCTGTGCACTGCAAAGGACCTGGCAAAGACTCAGCCCATTTATATGAGACAGGGTTAAATCATTCTCAGACTTTGCTAAGAGGGTGCCAAGGAGGAAGATTAATTTTATTTTGAGAGTGAAGCACTTCTGGCTCCCCTACAGCGCAATGCTACCCTCTGAATTTGGTTTTAAATGCGACATGAAGATTTGGTGAGGGTTTCTGCAGCCAGAGACACACCAAGGACACTGACCAGGGGAGCAGTGCTCCAGGAGCTGGGTCAGATATGTTGGCAGTGTAAGACTAGGACTCCCCATCCATAATTAGCCCAGTTTCCTCAGCTGTCTGGGCTGTAACTAGCTGCCAGCCGAGAAGCTGCAGTACCTGCCCACAGGGTCAGCACAATCCTAGGAGAAAGAGGTGGCTGATTTTCGAAGAAGACTCACCTCTAACATTCTTGCAGGCAAGTTTACACTCCTCTTCCCGTAAGTAGTTATTCTTGTTGGGCTTGCAGCCACCAAAAATGAACTCCTCACACTGCTGAAGGCTCGGGTTGTAAAACCAACGTGGAAAAGATCCCCGACACCAACCCACCTTCTTAGGAGTCAAACAATGCTCTATCAAGAAAGTTAATATAAAAGGTTCTGGTTAGCTTGCTTTGCCTTCACATATACAAAGGAGAAAATCTTCCAAAGGAAAGTTTGTCAACAGTGTGGACACTTGTCTGAAAGCTATAAGAAATCTTGAGCGGCATGGAGAAGGCGAGTAGGGAATCATGGCATATATTTTCTTATATGAAAGGCAGGGTCACAAAATCAAATTAGAACATAAAACAAAAGGAGCTGCTTCTCCACACAGCACATAGTTAAGCTGTGAAACTCCTTGCTTCATGATGTTGCTGCTGTGCAAAGATTACATGAGGTCAAAAAGGGATTCATCCATGGCTATTAAACACAAAGCCACCATTTTCTGCTTAAAAAAAAATCTACCAGCTGCAAATTCGTTGGGCACTAGCCAAGCATAGCAGGGATTTACTGATAGCATGTCATGTTCTTGTACTTCTTCCAAAATATCAAACTCTGGACGCTGTTGGATGCAGTGTACTGGATTGTGGACTGACCATTAGTGTCACTTGACATGGCTGTTCTTATATTTTTATGGCACCTGTGGCAGGAGGAGAAACTCCCTGCTTAGCTACTACTAGTCAACCATTTGCCAAAGAACTCCTCGCTCCTAATGCACTTGTAATGATGAATGTTTTGATCATTAAAAGAGGCCATTAAAGTAAAACATATAAATAAAGCCAGGGACACTTTGAATGTCATGCAGATGGCTCCACCTATCCTGCAGCTCAAGGGGCCTTCACAGCAAAACCATGAAGTCAACAAGACCTTTCAGGTTCTCCTGTCTTACACCCCAGGGTTCAGCCACTCTGGTGTTACCCAGCAGAGGGCAATGACATTCAGAGAGCATGGGGTTATTGCAGGCCACCTCTGCTGCAAGAGGATGCAAAAGCCCTGAAATAGACTACTATGAAGGCAGAGACCTTCCACTACTGGTCAGGTTCAGGCTTTTATTGGGAAAAGTTGACATGCAAGTCTGGTCTCTTGGTTGTGCTCTTTTCCCAACCATTCCTCTGAGAAGAGCACCCATAATGCCAGAGCAGCACCCATAACTGGGGACTCCAGCTGGACATCCATGGGCTCAGGCTCACCTTCAGTCTGCTCAGAATTCAGCACCATGATGGTGATGTTGGTGAAGTCTTGCTGTTGTGCAGTGTCTGTGACAGTAAGCTGGAAGACGTAAGTCCCAGCCTGTAGGTTGGAAATTTCTACCTGATCTTCTTCATGCTTCTGAGAATGGAAAAGAAAGGCTTATGCAGAAGGTATCTCTAATGAGGGAGTGAATGAAGCCATGCAAAGCCTACATTCCTGCCTTAGGAAGAAAGGAGCTTGGCTGGAAACTCCCAAGCAGATGTCTGACATGAAAAGTGTCTCAGTGCTATACAAGCCCCCCAAATCTGTGGGCTGGTACACAGCTGGAATAGTAGAGAGAAAGACTACAAGTGTAATTAGATATTTCATGTTTTGGGGCATTGTGAAGGCATGAGAGGAAAAAAAATAAAAATCTTTGGAGAGGACTGAAATACCTATAGTTTTTATTTTACTTTTTTAAAAAATAAAACCTATTATGAATCATTTACTTAGTACATAGGGAATAAGCTAGGTGCATTTGAGAAACATATACTCTTTCATTCTGAATATGACAAGTATATTTAGTTTGAGAGGTGGAAACGAGTGCCTATTCTTTGCCTGCTGAGAGGTTTCTAAAAGAGAGTGAATTGTTTTGTCAGAATTGAAAGCTGTGATTTTATTGACACAACCTTTTCCCCTATATTTGCTAACAATATTTGGCCTCCATTTCCATGCTATCCGCCTTTTTGGTTAGGTTTCAAGAGAACACAGTGTTGCCGTATTTGTGGCACTTGTAGATATGGTTTAGCGGGCATAGTGGTATTAGGACAACGGTTGGACTTGATGATCTTAGAGGTCTATTCCAACCTAACGATTCTACAATCATCTTTGTGTAGTTAAAAATGGCATAATACTAGAGGACTTCCCCCACCCCCCCCGCTCCACCCCTGAAAGTTGCTTTAGTTGGGCTAGGGGAAAGGGAAAAGGAGAGGAGCACTTCCAAATTTCCACAGCCCCCTCTGCACCCTAGAGCTAGGCATTGCTGCTCTTCAAAATAAGCTGTGGCCTTGATGCATTCACTTGCTAATGCTTCCAAAAGGTGCCACAAGTCTCCATATGAGTTCCAAGGTTTTCCAGAGCATTTTGCAGAAGTTTAACAGTAATAATTTGCTTTTATAAAGCCACAATTCACGTCTCAGTAGTGTGCAAGAGGGCAGGGGCAACCGTGAGGAGGGCTCCATAGCTTTCGGGAACAGGCTTGTGGGTAGACTGCCTCAAGGAGGGAAGGACAAGGTGACCTCTAAGTCAGTGGCTGTGAGAGCCCAACCTAGTGCAGACCACAGCGTGACACTGAGCAAGCTGCTTCCTTCCTGCAGCTCCCTACCTTCATCTCCACGGAGGGGTCACCGAGGACCTGTTTCCATTCATAGCTGACTATCCCTCGGTCATCTGTGCTCTCTGTGCCTCTCAGCATCACTGGCTCTCCCGGCTGTACCCTCATGTCCACGCCAGTGCGGGCTACTGGAGGATGGTCATCTGCAGAAGAAATGCAGAACAAGGCTTGGGTAAGAGGCTGAAGGGTCCAGGACTTGTCTCAACTACGGGAAGACAAGTGAGGGGGATTCTTCCAGGCTAAATCAATACAAACTTCAATGACTGAAAGGAAAACACTTTTATACAGCTGTGCATCTTGCAGCCTGAGCAAGCAACAGGTGATCAATACCGTTATTACTGCCCTCACTAATTTAGTAACTCCGCAACCCACTCTGGCAGTGCCTTTGAGCCAGTTGGCTCCCTGGCCACTTCTGCCCACAGAAACCACCATAAGTGCACTTCTGACCATTGGACGGCATCCTCACAAAACAGCACAGAGCAATCTCCACCTTTCACTTAGGGAGATGGACCTGATGTGGGTGTTGAAGAATGTGGAACTGACTCTCATCACTCCTACCACCATCTCTAAGCACTACATTAGCATTCTTAACCAGAGCTATGCAATGCAGGATTTGAATGGATTTGAATGGGAAATATCCCTCCTCCACCTCACCTTCCACCTCACTTTCTGACACGCATGCCTTAAAATATCAAACAAATGCCATTCATTAGATCAATATTCTTGTGCCATTCCATGAATTAACTTCACAGTAGCCTCCACAATTCATTAAACACTTTTCCAGACTGTAAGTGTAAGAGATGAAAACTGATCCCTGCCCATGCCAGCAAGAACAGCCAAACAATGACACCATTGAGCCTGACTCATAACTCCTTTCAGCCTGAACATCTCTGATCGCAGGCTTCCTGCATAGCTCAGCTCATAAAACTACACCTGGCAGTGCTTGTACCAAGTCCAAGACTCAATGTTCAAATTCAGCCTGAGTCTTTTGTAAAGGCATCGATCAGCAGTTATGAGCTACGTATAAATCACTCTACCATTACACTGCTATATCGACTGTGACTGAAGAAGAGGACTGGTGCCCAAATCCCTTAGAAAACTACTCCATCAGCTACTTTTTTTCACTGTTGTAGACTTGCTCCTAATTTCCTGTTTGAGTGTTTCTGAATTCAGGTCCCAGCTGCTGACTCTTGTATCAGAGGTCCCTTCAGTAGGCTCTAGCAAGAGAAACAAAACAACCCTGACATTGAAAACAAGCTACTTTTTAGCTCTTTCATCACTACATTCTGTAGGATGGAGGGCTTTGCAACACATATTCCAGATCGGTTACCACAAATCCATCCAGAATCTTCTATTTTCTAGTATCTTTTACCAAATGAAGACATTCTCATTCTATCCTGGTCTTACAAATGCTGCAGAAAGCCACACAGAAAACAACAAACCTTCGCTTGTTCCCACGTTCAAGCATTGCACTCAGGCTGTTCAGCCGCACAATGGGGGAGGGTATGCTCATGCCAGCCCTCTGAGGTTCCCCCTGCAGCCTGCTCCCCAGCTGCAGCCCTGCAGCTTGCCTCCCTCATCACCAGGCTGATGGGGCTGTGGTTTTACTGTCTGAGAAGAGATCAGCCACTTCCAGCTTGTGCAGCTGCAGTGCTTCTGGTTACATTTATCGCACCAATCTGTGTGCTCTCTGCAGTCTGTCACTGGTTGTATCTTTTATTCCATCTTTTCATGAAAGTACTGGGTGGGAACAATACGGGACCAAGCTCATATTATTGATCTTGATCCAATCACCAAAATAGGCAGAGTCCAACTGGACTGAAAGGGGCCAGGAAGACAACACAAGCAGAGGTGTCCACCCTGGTGTCCTCTCACCTTTGGGTGAGGCACACCTCCCTGCCACTCCTTCCTCAGGGCTGCGTGCCAGAGTGATGGGTCCTGTCCCAGTCAGGCATGAAGACTGCTGAAAGACATTGAGCAGGGCCGAGAGAGCCTGGCACCTCTTGGTTTTGAGCAGGGCCAGTAGAACAAATAAAGAGAGTTTTGCTTTATTTTCCAGCAGTCTTGCCATAAAAACATTCATAGGCGAAAGCCGTGACTGGAGCTGGCAACACCTTCCAAACCGAACAGGAAAAAACAGCCCCCCCGCACACCTCATACACAGCACTACAAGCTCTGGAAAGGCGGAATGTTCCTGTCATACCTGCAAGGCAAATGCCATGAGCCTGCTAGGGAGAATCGCAGGCTGCTCCCTGCCACCCTCCTGCCAGCGTGAGCCCCACTGCACAAAGGAAAGACCAGTTCTTCAGCAACACAGAGGCTGACCATTAACTATCAACTCCAAATCATGTTTTTCCTTGACATTTTTAAGGATGTACACATAAAAACCCCAAAATTGCAGGCCAAACATTTCTCCTCAGGTCAATTTAGTTACTCTGGTTTGTGGATTGCATGGTAAAATAAAAGCTCAGTTCTGACCAACAGGTGAGCAACTTCTCCAGATCCCGTCTCTGACCAAATTCCCTGACCCTCCTCACCTCCAGAAAAATAGTCAGAGTATTTGCTTATCTGCGGTGACTACCAAGGAGGAACTCCCACTAGAAATTAAGGACTTAATTTTCAAGTCCCTCCCTTTTCTCCTTTGGACATCTGAAAGCTCAGTGACTTTGGAGTATTTCTGCTACACTGACTGTATGAACCCTTCAGTGACAACGTGGCTGTTCTCCACCTGAGCTTCATAACCAAGTGCTAACTGAGCCACAGTGAGTATCAACAACCTGCTCGTAGAAGGGAAATTCTCCATTCAGTTTGTTTGCTCTGAAAGTCCATTTGAAAAATGAAAGTCACCTTTGCTATAAAGCTCTTTTGATTATGCAAAGTTTCTGCTGTAAAACTCTGTAATTAACAGGGCGATTAAAGCTTTACAATGCTGTTCTGTGTGGTGCTCTTTACTATGGAACACATGCTCCTGGAGTCATGTAATTAAGTGACAACTTCTACTTCCATTTTTAAAATACATCAGAAGGTGAAACCTATTTTCTTTATGATCCCAGAGAAAAGCTTCATACCCCATTTTTTGCTTTTTTAAAAATTCCATCTAGTTTTAAGGCTTATGCTGTCAGTGGCTTGTCTGGCTTAATCTCTAACAATGAGTAAACTTGAATCAATATTGATGGGGGAACAGGAATCTAAAAGATACTGAATTCCAACAAGGGCTGCAAAAGTGAGCATCTAGGTCGGGGGACAGACCCCACTAGGGACCTGCTATCAGAACATGCAGGCACCAGTGAAATCCCGCAGCAGAAAGCACTTGCATAGCTCCCAGTTTGCGGACTTCTCTTTTGGAGCTCAGGTATCAGCTCTTGCCCCCAAGACACAAACTCACTGAAAACCAGATTTCCTCCATTCCAGCGCTCATGCAGATACACCCTGAGTATGTAAGACTATAAAGGAATGCTTGAAAGTACCTCAGAATGATTTGAAGCTGCACTAGAAAGAGCTGGAAAGCTTTCTCATGGTCACTGAGGGACTCTTGCAGCCTGCTCCTGTCTGCAGTGGCAGAAGCAGCTTACAAACGAGACAAGTGCAGTTTGCACTGGGGACACCGAGGCACTGCAAAGGGAAGGGCCTCACTGGGGACAAAAGTCAATGCTCAAAGCCACTGAGAAGGCCAGGAACAGAGACAGGAGCAGAAATGAGGCCATCCAAATTCCAGCGTCCATGAGATGTGCAACCTCAGAGATTTCAAGCATCAGACGCCAGCTAAGCCTGCCTGCTGCAAAAGCAGGTGGGCAGGGGCAGGCAGCGGCGCTGCTCTCCCCGCAAACACTAAAGCTTTGCTCTAACCTTGCTTCCAGGTAAGTAATTCAAAAGTTAACAGCTTTCAGGGAGGGTGCATTTAAATCTCACCCATCGACACTAGAAAACTCTCCATAGTAACAGGCAAAGGTAAGGAAGGAAGATGCTGCTGCCAGAATGTTAATTTGCCTGAGGAGGAGGAGAGGGAGAAGAGAACAAAGCAACACAACACCTGGAGAAAGAGAAAAACAGGCTTTTTCTGTAGCGATTCATCCTGGTTGGACAGCAAACACAGTTACAAAAAAGCCATATAGTTTTTGGTCAACTCATGCAAAGCCAAGCAGTTCTCAGTGTTAACTTCTAGAGGTTTCTGTAGTGGTTTGTAAGAGGTGCACACAGCAGGCCAACTTAACCTCTCTAAAACAACGCAGCATGACTGAAAGGATTATATTTTCAGATTAATGCAATCTGCTGCTGCCCCAGGCTCCTTCCATCCTTCCTCAGGGTGTGGGAAACCAGTCCGATTTGCTTTAGCAGGCAGAGGGAGAGTCTCCTGTGGGTCTTTGTGCCACTTTACTAAAGATCAGTTTGTTACTCCAGATCAGTTCATTACTCTGGTCTCGTTAGATAGCTCCAGAGCCATGATGTGAGGTAGGCACAGCATGTGGCACTTCAGTAAATTCTGCCTGACAAACAGTAGTTTCACAGTGAGTGGAAGCTGCTCATCACCTGCTCTGAGCAGGGAGCTGGACCAGCTGATCTCCAGGGGCTCTGCCACCATACATTAGCCTCTGCATCTGTGATGTGGGTACTGAACATGCGATTCCCCCCTCTCCTGGCCTGAGCTGGGTGCTGGAGGATGAGCAGCTGGCTCAGGGCTGAGCAGCATCAGCCAAGAAGAAACCAGTGACCAGACCTGCCTCAGCCCCGGCTGGGATCCCAGCACCGCTCATTTTAGTTGCACTGTACCCACAGAATGGAAACCAGCATGGACCAAACATTTGATGAGGGATGAGCTTCAAATGTGGGAAGCTCTCCTTTTTTAATGCATTACCAAATTTTTAACCTGCAACTCTCTCTCCATGGTGAGGCAGGAGCAGACACATCCTGAACCCTGCAGTTTCCCAGCACTTCCCATCTCCCACTCACAAGCCCTGAATTCAACAGGAGGAGGAGAGTGTCACCGAGCATTTCACAACCAATGCAAAAAGGTTCAGTTCAAGAAACGAACAAAGGTTCAGGGAGGTTATTTTCCAGTTTCACACCCAGAACTGGTTTGCCTAGACCAGAATAAGCTCAGGTTAGTTACTTAAACACTGGGCTCCATTATTACCAATAAAGTGCATGGTGAGCCTGCCCCTCCCGCATGAGCCAGGCAGAAAACTCGTACCAAAGTTCAGGCTGGGGAACCATTTAAGAGGATAGTGCCTTTTAACAATAACATCAGAGACTTCGGGCTGTACGTTAGCTGGAACAGGCAAAAGAGCCAAGCTGTCATCACCAGCTTATAAAGGACTCGGAAGCTCTTGTTCTCCAAAATACTGAAAATATACTCAGATGGTGTGCAGAAGCTAGATTTCAGCTGTATTCATTGTTGCCTCTACCCACCATTTTTTCTGAAGTCATGACACCTTAAGAGCAGCTGCAGTGGGTTAGAACAAGACTGCCTCTGACCCTGTGTTCTGTTGCCACCAGTCTTGCTGTGGATGCTCAAGCAAGAGCAAAGAACGGGGCAAGCACACACAATGTTTCCCGTGTAATACTCCATCAGATTTCAGCTACTTCCATCAGGCTCCAGAAAGATTAAATTTGCCCATTCAGCAGCTGTGCTCTCTTTCAAGTGTTATCTAGTCTCCTCCTGAACATATTACATAAGCCTCTTAATTCAACAGGTCTGCTCCCTTTAGTAGTACAGTGGGCCTTGCAATGTGCGGCTTTTTTGTTTAATGTCACCCACTGGGATCACTAAATAGATATTTCACTATTCACTAGAAAAAACATGCTTTTAATCCTTATTATTGCAGAGGACATTGGAAGATTGCCACATGGTCATACCCTAAAGGCTCCTAGGACACCTGACAGCAGCACATAAAGGAAAGGGATGGATAATAAAGCAGCATATAAGCTTCCTGCAGACCTTTAGAGCCAGTCTCAGGGGGCTGACAATAACCTGGGCTCAAGAGCAGCCATAGAGCTTCACATTTTAACAGTGATACAGCACAACAGCAGGAAGACTAGACAGTTTTGTCTCCAGTCCAAAACCTTGGCCAAGACTTTTTGCCTGTAAACATTTGGGTGGAAAACCTGACATGCCAAAACCAGCTTCCTCAACACTCATTTCACCTGGCCTCTTCAGACATCATCCAAAGGTCTAGAAGCAAAAATGCTGTAGAGCTTCCTTATGCTGCCAGGTGGACATACTCAGTGCCCAGGGGCTCCTTCATTTGGCCTCCTGCACCTGCACCTTCGTGCCCTTCCCCAGACCCACTCAGTGTCAGCCAGGCACCCACCTTCTTGCCCAGACAGGCCCATTCCTCCCACATGAACCCAATCCCAGCATCATGGCTGGAGGGGCTTGGGGTTTTGTTTTGGATTTGTTTGTTTGGATCTGAACCAAAATCAAGATCTGCATTCTTAAGTGTCTCATCAACTGCTGTGGGGAGGAGGGCCCAGCTCATATGGTCTGATTTAGCCCTTGTTATTATTTGCCGTTTCTCCAGTAAAATAACTCCTTTTCAGCTCTGGATTAATAAATAGTAACAATCCTTCATCTCTTTTCCTGCCACCTTCTGATGTAATTCAAGGTGATTCAGAAAGCTTTTGGTATCAGTCAAAGACAATGCCTAAAAATTTCAGGAGAGGAGGGAAACATGTTTCCCATTGAAGCCCAGCATGAAGGTTGCAGCCTGATCCAAACACAAAGTAGTGAGCTTCCCAGCATCTGTCGCTACAGCTGGAGACCTGTCGGGCATCTTGCACCCCCCCGAGACTGCAAACACAGGGTGTAGAAGGGACTGAGCCTTTCCTACACCTGCAGCAGTATTGTGGCGCAAGCTCCATGTGAGCAAGGAGGGGCATGCTGCCTCGGCAGGCAGAGTATCCCCAACAGCATTTTTGGCATGTTTTTGACTCCTCACTGATAAGCCCTCCTGGGTCTTCCTGCTCCACTGCAGCCATCCCAGCCTCTGTGGAAGTAGCATTAGCGATGGTCTGCAAGGCAGCATCTGCGTATTGGTGGCAGAGCTGCTCCAGCTAGGTGCCATGGAGTGGTAAACACAGCACCGCTGGCGGCACAGAGAGCTCAGTGACCTGGGGACACTTTCTAGAGACCTGCACACATGCAATGCCAGGCCCTGCAAACAGCTCAAGGAGGAGAGGGGGTTGCAGTCTCCTCATATGAGGTGCTGGTCCACAGAGATGAAGAGTAAATTGCTCAACAGTAGCCTGTATTTTAATCTAATCTTGTGAAATCAGGATGTACTGGAGATGATGCATTCCCTTCTCCTTTTACAATAAAGCATGTAGGAGTTCAGACAGCTGCCAGCATGCCACCTCCGGTCCTGGAGGTGTGGGCTTCAGTTCCTCACTAACTGCAGCTCCTATGGAAAGGATTTTGAGCCTGAAACGGAGGCGCAGGACAATTACTGCTACAGAGATTTACCAGAAGGCCCTAAAATGGGGTGAGAGGTGACTAGCAGGGACAGAGGACAGGACAACCACTTCTGCCACATCACTGCTCAAACCAGCGATGCCCAAGGGCTGCTCCAGAGCAGCTGTGCCCTCCTTCAAACCCCCCACACTGCTACTTAGGATGAACAAAAGTGGGCAGTGTGGGGTTTGGTGGCATTTCACACCTCTAGCACTTACAACCCTCACAGGCTGGCACATCTCAGCAGAAGATCAAAGACCTATTCATCTCACACAGTCCAGCCTAAGCGCATGTGCCCACCCAGTGCTCCCCTTGTCATCTTCACAGATGCTTTCTGTCCACACCACAGGTGGGCTGGCAGGGGGCGTGAAGAGGATTAACCATACAGATATACCCTAATGCCTGTGCATCACCACATAATAAACTGGTTATGGATGGTTGCCAAAGACCCAGCCAGGCTACATATCCCCGTCTCATGAGGCTTCCTCCAAAACATGGACCAAGGAGGCAAAAGGAGGAACTGCCATGTTTTCAGTGTTCTGAACACTCTGCGTTTCTTTGAAGATGGCAGAGTGTGTGGCAAGCGGCCAGCTCCAGATTAGTTTGTTTTCCACCTGGTTTCCTGGGTCCAGGTGCAATCTTTCAGAGCAGGGAACCAGGGATTGGGGAAGAGAGACCCACCCCCAAAGGGTAAGTTTTCTAATCAGCCTCCCCCAGGTGCTCCCTCTCCCTCCCCCAGCAGCAAGAACCAGCCCCAACAAGCAGAGCGATACCAACATGCCTCACCATCCAGGCTGCTGCTCACAAAATTCAGGCTGTGGCAAAATGAAAAGTAAGTAGATCGTGTCCTGCCTCCAGCCCCTAAACAATTAAGAGATTAATGCAGCTCTTTAAAACGTGGTGATGTGTAGACTTTTAGAGGATTTCACTTTCGAACCTCAAAGGCCCAGGGACAGGGAGAAGGAAAATCAGTATCTTTTTCTCTACATTGTGAAGTATCAAAAACGCCGCCTGCATTTGGTAATCACTCGCTCCATCCTCTTCAAACAGGTTAAAGAACAATTCCCTTTCCATTTACTAATAGGTAAACTGAGGCACAATTCTTAAGCGAGTTCATCAAAGTTAAGGAAAACCTTAATGGCAGAGGGACATATAGAAACCCCATCTTTACACCACTTTATCCCAACCATTTGGCAGCACAGCTGCACAAATGACAGCTGGAGGAGCTGGCACCAGCGGCTGTTAGTGCTCTTCCAGCCCTGGTTTGCACAGATCCACTACAGGCACCTTACCACTAGATCCGTGATTCTGCATTGCCAGGTAGGAATCATACACGTCCTTCTTCAAGAAGTTGAGAAAGCCGATCTTCCTGGCAAACCTGCAGACAAAAGCCTGCTCGTAGAGGCAGTTGAGAAGAAAGCAGCCCTGGATGTGATCTTCCTCCGTGCCTGGGACCTGCTCCACAAGAGCCAGATTACAAGCCGGTTCCTTACAGCAGGCTCTCATGCAGTCCCTGCTCCGATGGACCATGGGGGACGACAAGAAGGTGGCTCCATTCTGGACGGAGGCGTCTGTATCCAGCACCAAATCCGGCACCCCTGCCGTAAAGTCCTCCAGGCACGTTTCACCGAAGGGTTTTTTCTCCTGCCCTTCGCCAAAGCCAAAGTCCACCGCCAGCACCAAGCCAACCCAGAGCGCAAACCACGGACCCGGACTCCTTCTGGCCATCTTGGCGCCCCGATCCTCAGCACCTCGGGACATTAAGCCTTTCCTAAAGGAAAGGAGAAGGCAGATGAAGCCAAGAGGGGTGGCGTCCAGGCGCCTGCCACCCCGGGGAGAGCGGGGGGGACCCGGAGGCTGAGGCTATGCTCCGGGTCCCTGCTCGCCCCAGGGTGGCCAATGCGTGCCCCTACCCTGCAACTCACCCCCAAGCACACACTCTCAGCCACCCACCTGGGCGGTCTCAGCTGAAGCCGATGCTAGGAGCGGGGTGTCCCCCTTGGCCCCCGGCTCCTTCACCCCTCAAGTGTGCCTTCGTCTGCGCCCAGCGGAGACAAAGGCACCGAGAGTGCAGGAAGTGAAAACCAACTCCCTGAGAGAAGGGGGGGAACCGAGTCCCTCCCCTGCATGCTGAAGTGCGTAAGAGGAAGGGGAGGAGAGCAGGGCTGATACCATCTGCCACGCCTCTCGTGAAGGGAGCGGAGGGAGCTGGGCGATGCTCTTGCTCGTTCTGGCAGGTGCCGGGGCACCCACTGCGGTTGAGCATCCCACCAGCCGGGTGCTTGCTGCATCCCCGTTTCTGTTGCGAAGGAACCCGAAGCCCGGGAGCTCCCGGTCTGTGTCCTCCAGTGGTAGCCTTCTGGCATGGCCAGCAGCATGGCACTGAGCACCATTAGCCCAGGTCTCACTAGCCCGAATGAGTCAACCTTGCAGCCACAACTACAGCGCCCGCTGCCATCACTGCTGTGAGAGGTTTCGTGCTCAGTGCAAGCATCTCGAAATCACGAATTCCCTGCTTTTAGGATACAATATTCCTTTTGAGTGAAAGCACTCAGTCGCATGCCTGGAGGTTGCCCGTGTGGCAGAAGCCCCACCACCACAGCACTGAAAACTTCTAGTAATCACCCCTCACTGATGAGCAGTATTCCACTGCTCTCCTCAATCTTGTATAGGGTGGTCACGGTCCATTTATAGTGCCCTTGTTAGGCAGGACAGTGCTGTTTGGGGCCATGGGAACACAAAGGCCACCTGCCATAACTTCCATGTATTTTCTGCCTTCCTGCTTCTACTCGCAGATGCATGATCAAATTCCTCTGTTCAGCAGATACACCTGTGTCATCCACCCCCTCTGTCAGTAAACAGTCCCAAAGCCCCTGGGTCGTAGTCCTTAGGAAAGTAGGGAGTGCTTGTGAGTTGCTTGGACATTATTTGTAATGAAAGATTGCATCACTTAGAGCGGCAGCAGCAAACGGGAGATGGTATTGAATGGCATATCTTCAAAAAGAGATGGTGAGCAGCAGCTATGTATCACACAGCAGCTGGCTTGGCGGTTCCGGGGACCATTCTGGTGTCCAGCATTTCAGTTCTTGCTGCGTCTTTCTGTACCACTGATCCAGCTTTATGTATCCTCACAGGATTTATTCAGAGCCTTTAGAGATGTGTTTCCCCCTTCTGCCTGTCACACGCAAACACTATGGGAATGTAATGTCATGGAAATATTATTTTTCAATACCTCTTATGACTTTCTGCGGCCTGATGCTGACATTCATGTGTAGTACTGACTTCTGTTTAGCTTTGATCTGGCTATGGTAGGGTATAAAAAAAAAAAAAAAATAGGCAAAGCCTAAACCATGAAAATAAATGGTAGGGCAGTAGGAAACATGCATGTCTGCAGAGCACAGAGATGTTTGTTTTCCTTATTGGCTATATGAATCTTTGTCAGAAGAGGCATGGGTGTTTCCCCCCACACACTCAAACCCCATCTCTACACTAGGTCTTTAGGACCCACCTGCAGACCATGCAAGTGGTAAAGGGAGAGCTGACCTCGCTGTCCTGAGAGGACATGTCCGCATCTTCTGAACACACGCAGGAGAAATAAAAATGGCAACAAGGTTATCTCCTTCTTCTATTCTGCACTGCCTGAGGCACTCTGCTGGGGGCTCTTTCTCGTATTTAACCTGGAGGAAACCTTTTCCTGGATGAGTATTTAAAGCCTTCAGTCTGGAGCCAGGTGAGGTGCAGTGCAGTTCCCTGACACAAGACCATGCTGCTCAGGTGCTCAGGAAGCAGTTGGCCTCATCCCCTTTGCAAACCAGTGACCGTGCTTGGATATCCACACTGGCAGAACTGCTCCTAAACAGTCTGGTCTGGTATTTTTGTCTAACTGCCAATAACCCAATCTACCTCAGCAGTAGTGTTGTGTTACAAAATCTCTGTCAAGGGTTTCCTGCAAACCTGAAGGACATGACGTCTCTTCTACTTGGGCCAGATTATGTAACTCCTACAAACACAGAGCTGGGAGGACTCCTTGATTGGCATCTCTAGCTCCACCCCCTTCTTTTTTTTTTTTTTTTTTTTTAATGTTTATGGAGGGATGAGCCCCTTCACAAGCTGATCAAACCTCGTGTTTAGAGCTGGGGGTTTTACTAGCTTTTGCTCTCAGTAGAAGTCTGTGTGAATGTCCTGCTGCAAGGTTTTCTGCTGATCACCCTAAAGGTATTTATAGTTACTTTATATTCAGTTTTCTTGTGCAGTATTGTCCTTTCATTTCAAAATCTTCTTTCGTCTTCTTCAGCTGTATTTATTTTGGTGAAATCATATCCTAACTCAGTCTTCAGCTTGCTAGTGCAAGCAAGCCACGATCTTTCAGTCACTTCTTTCATGGTAGAGTCTCCATTTCCCCTCTGTTACCCTAATGGCCTTTTTTCTGCACATTCTCCAGTTTCAGTTTTATTAATTATTAAATATGTGTTACAAAATTCTATGCCACAGTCTAAAGAACCAAGTGTTTAATCTTCTGTCTTCTCGAACTATGTTGTTGAATACATCTTGGGATCCTATTAGTATCACTCATAGGCTCAGTGCAGAGCCAGCTTATAAACAGTACATGTTTTCTGGATCTTGGTCTTTTACTCTCTGCCATTTTCAGCTGATCAGTCTCCAGCTTTTTTTTTTTGGTGACAATTTCCTAAGTATGTGGTCTTACTTTTTAAATTCTCTATTATTCTTAAATTTGACCTATTTTCTTCTGCTTAGCAGATGGGCCTGCCTTGTTTATTTGACCTTCAAATGTCACATTTTTGGTTCTCTACTGTAGGAGGAATGCATCCCACCACTGTGCCAGTAGTACAGTTTCTAAATCTGCCCAGTTCCTTCAGGAGAAGTTCAGTAATTAAAATTTTAATTGAGATTAGTCCCAAGATCAAAGACTTCTGCTAGGAACATCTCTCTGTTGCAGGAGCTTTCCTTCCAACTCAGTAACTTTCTCTTTGCCCTCCTAACCTAGAAATCCCATCTCAGCCCCCATCTTCTGCCAAAACAATGATTTCACATAAGCTGTGTCTTATTCACATCAGCATGAAGGGAAAGTAGGGTGTGTGATTTTATGACTTAGGAGTGTTTTTAAGGGGTCCTGAAACAGTGAGTCAGCGTTTGTCTGTCTTTGAGAAGTGTCCGCTCTCAGTCTGGCAATAACTATTCAGGAGATGACTCGGGAGGGATAAACCACACCATAGTTTAATATTTGACTAAGATTATAAGAGCTCTTAGACACGCATGGCTTGCAACAAACTCAGTGCAGGAGCCTGCGTCACCTGATTTTTGTGATTGCTATGGAGACCCCAGCACCCGTCAGCAGGTGAACACCCACCTTTCAGAAGGAAGTGACCCCAACAAGCAGAAAAATAAGGACAACTTGGACCAGGTCCTCTTTGCCCTGCTCTGCAGCCCAGCTCCGTGGCATCACTGTCTGCAATGACTTCCTGGCAGCACCTTGTCCCACCAGCTGCTGCAGACAAATCCATTCTGCTGCACTTTACCTGGGAACCGCTCCATGTGTAATTAACACTTGGGAGACAGGTTTGCTTGCTTGTTTTGTTGTATTGCCCTCAAGTTAAACCTCCTGGTGTTGTTTAGGGGTGAGACCCGGATGCAAGTGATGGCATAAAGATGTGGCAAAGGAAGGAGACAGGGAGGGACCTCATCGGGCCATGACTAACCACTGGTCCTGTGAAACAAAGCCAGGGAAAGGATGACAGGCTGCTGAGTCCTCCCAAGAGCCATTCCCATAGCATTGAGGGTAGCTTTGGGGAAGTGAGTTACAATGAGGGTATATTGTTTCTTTGGGGAAGTTCTTGTCTACAGTCCTGCATGGCACTGGCTTTTATTTTAACGTTGCTGTCAATGTAAACCCTTAAGGGCAGGAGCACTGGGAAAGGAAAGGGAAAAGGAAAGAAGCCTAGTATTAAGACTAGTTACAGCCAGAGAGTATCTGCATTTTTTCCTACACTAGGCTTTTACAGGGAAATGGGTATGGAAATGTGTGAAGCAAAGAACCTTCAATTTGCAGGAACTAGAATAAACTTAACATTTCCCATTGAGGTCCCCATAGGTAACCTAAGCTGTTCTTCATAGCACCGGGTGGAACGGGATAGGCCGTGGGGTTCCCTACAGCCTCTCGTTCTCTGTCACTTCCTACAGTGACTGCATCCCCAGAAATCTTGTGACTTTCAACACATTCAGGCCAGCTGCCACTGCCTCCCACGAAAAGCTGCTCTCCCTGTGTGTGTGGAAGGCGATTTCCCTGCAAGTGTAGTTGCACTCTTTCAAAGGGGATCAGGTCGCAATAAACTTCTTGGTGCAAGCACTATACAGATGGGCTCTGCAGGCCTGAAATGTTGAAAGCAGGCTGTAAAACAAGGAGGATCCCCTTCATCTATTCAGCCAGTGCTTCTCTTGTCTCCAGCTATACCATTCAGGGACTTGCTGAAACATCTGTGCCACATGAAAACACTGGTAAGGCTTTCAGTGCCGCAGGCCATTTTCTGTAGGGAGACAGCAAAGCAGCACAAGAGGAAGGGCAACAAAACAACACGGACAGGTTTTCAAAGATCCCCAAATAATCCATTTGGCATCTAATTCATGTTGTCAGCTTCACTTAAGTACTCAAGGGGACGCAGAACTTCCTCCTCAGTGGAGATGCTTACTCACTCCACTACCTACAGGATGTC